TTGCAATTCTTGGAATTGTGTCATCACAATGACAGATCAGCTAATCCTATGAGTCTTAAGGCCCCCGCATATGGTGAGATTTGTGCTGAGCACCGAGAGTGAGTTTTGTGCGCAGCAGGAATCTCTCACCCCCGCACACGGTGAGGTTCATGCTGAGCACGGATCTTACGACGAGGGTGAACTGTAGGTCATGTAACTGATCAAAATGCCGGAACCAATCAAAATGCATCAAAATCGACCCTGCACATGGTGAGATTCATCCCCGCACACGGTGAGATTCGTGCCGAGCACGAATCTCACCGTGTGCGGAGGCCTTTATGCTATCCTAGTGTTTCTTTGATGAGTGTTCACTTGCACATATGCCTCACATATTGCGTCGTTACCAGGGAGCTGTGATATCGCCGAGTGATGAGGATTCCCACACATTTACAGTAAATACGGTCGGAGGCGACGCATTCAGACTGAGAGGTATGTACCACGTGGGGTCGTGTAGCGTGTTCGAGGATTCTTCCTATCCTAGAAGTGACCCAATCTTGCTTTCTTAGTTGTTTGAGGCTGAATGATGAATAACAGAACAACTGATATGCTTGCACGAATGATTGCCTCGATATGGATATCAAATTAATCGGGCTGCTTAATATTTTTTTTCATCAAAGAAAGTTCAATAAGTAATTTGAATAAACTGTATTAACACCACCTGCTCCAGTTGTCACAGTTGCACTGTGTTTATAACATGACCGATGTTCTTTCCTTTCAAATTTTGCTTGACTATCGGATATTTTGGGTTTACGCTACATTTTCCGAGAACGTGAATCTTGCATTGGGCAAGCGATTACCATGTAATGAAATGCCCGGATCGGCTTTCAGCTTATGATGCGAAAGAGAGACAGCACTGGGTGTCGCGATTACGAGCTGTTACTGAGATCCACACAGATAATCTTGCTGCTGTGAGTAACCATTTTTGGATTCATTTCAATTCATCACATCAGCCACACACGTCATCTGTCAAGTAGGACAAATAGTGCTATACTAGATTCAACATAAGCGATTTCCCTTGCCAGTAGATGCGTTGTATGTCCAGGCCCGTAGCCAGGGGGGGTCGGGGGTTCGAACGAACCCCCCCCCCCCGAGCCTCCCCTCCCCCCAAGCAAAAAAAATAATTTGTTGAAAATTTGCAAGAATTTCACCTCAGGTCGCTCCATTTTAGTGTTAATAATTGCAAAATCTCCATCGTGCGGGGAGGTGAACAGTGAACACCCCCTCCCACACCCTCCCCCCGCTCGTGTCGCTTGGCTCCCTCGCTGGACGCTTCGCGCCCGAGCAGGGCGGGTACAGGGGGGGTCCAGGGAGTCCAGGACCCCCCTTGCTCGCGCAGAAAACGCATCTAAAGGGGTGTAATTTAAAAAATTTCTAAAAAAAATTCCCCAGACCCCCCTTCGCGTGGCTCTAACTTTGGGTTACGGTTCAGACCCCCCCCCCCCCTGGTACAAATCCTGTACACGCCCCTGCCAAGCAAATTGCTAACATTGAAAAACGAACCCCCCCCAACATAAAGCTGGCTACGGGCCTGGTATGTCTACTTTGTATTTTGTTTACAGTGTGTTCACTGTAATTGTATTCATTGCATTGATTGTCTAGAATCAATTAGTGTTCATAATTATTACCATATTGCGCCATTATTATGTCCATACGAATTAAGCTACGAATTAGGCTTACGAATTGCTATATTTTATTTCTAAACAAGACAAATTCCTAGATAAAGTGCGAATGTTTACAAAACGCGCATCCGTATTCACGCTGCTTTTCCGGCTCTGTCGTCGATCGACAACGCCACTCTAAACTTTGTGAGGGCGTAAAAAAAACGTGCTGGGTCACATCGTCGCCAGACTGAAAGAAATCGCGTCCCGACGATCGCGGCAGTTGCAGAGCTAGGTGGTGCCGCTGTGTTGCAGAGCAATCCTCCGCTGCAGCGCGTGCAGTCGTCATCGAGCCTGCAGCGGTCGCCGCGCGTGGGCCGCAGCCGGCCGGCCCTGCTCAGCGACTCGCCGCGCTCGCAGCCGGACGAGCAGGGAGGCGGCGGCGGCGGCGGTGCGGGCGGGGAGTCGATGCACGCCGTCAGGGACGTGCTGACGCAGACGGAGCAGCAGAAGAACGCCGTCGTCAACGCGATAGAGGTACGTGTGGTGGATGTGTGTGCGTGTGCGTGTGTGCGTGCGCGTGTCTGTGTGTGTGCGTGCGTGCGTGCGTGTGTGTGCGTGGTAAGTGTGCATGCGTGTTTGTGTATGTGTATGTGCATACATACGTATGTGCATGTGTGCGTGCATGCGTGCATATGTGTGCTGCAGGAAAGGTCTCTCATGATCATAGCAGAGCCACAAGTCGATGTTTTGGTAAAATCTTCTAGCAGTCAAAGCAGAAGAGCTTTAATAGGACAGTGTAGTTATCAGAAACACATATTATAGCACATAACACTGAAAAACATGTAATCTTCACATGCAAAAATAACTTTGATTCATTAATTTCTCCATGGTAATGTGGTAGGATGCATGTGTGCAATGTTAAATCTTCAAGACACGTTATAATATTATAATGTACTAGCGGGATACCCGGCGTTGCCCGGGGAAATCAGTGGCATTACTCAGTTGGTGACCGCTTGGTTGAAAGGAAAATACACCAAAAAATCTAACTATCTATCTATCCATGCATCCATCCATCCCATTCCATCCCATCCCATCCCATCCCACCGCATCCCATCCCATCCCATCCCATATCCCATCCCATCCCATCTCATCCCATGTCATCCCATGCCATGCCATGCCATCCCATCACGCCGCATCCCATCGCACCGCATCCCATTGCACCGCATCCCATCGCACCTCATCCCATCCCATCCCATCCCATCTCATGCCATCCTATCCCATCCGATGCCATTGCATGCCATCGCATCCCATCCCAAACAGTAAAAAATAATAAGAAATCAAAAGATAAAAGACATTAAATATAAAAAATAAAAATACATACTAAAGAGGTAGGTAAAGGGAAAAAAAGGGAAAAAGTGGAAAATAAGTTCCCCAGCTGGGACTCGAACTCGGAATCCCGGTGTAGGAGACGGATGTTCTAGCGATTAGGCCACTGCGCCGTTAAGGGTATACCCATGGATTCACACGTACGTGATGTGAATCTGTACGCACCGCCATCTATTGATGAATAGAATTTTTATGAATTTTTAACTTTTTAACTTTTTTAAATTTTTGTTTCAGCCAGAACCACTTCCCAGACGTGCTGATTCTGAAAATGTCTTTAGTTTTCCTCTAGGCTGCGGAGTTCTCTAGTTATGCGAGTACGAACTAATTCGGCTGAACAACTTTATATATATAGAGAAGTATAATGTTTGAAAATATATTAATGAGAAATTTTAAGTGGGGGTTAATGGGAAGCTCAGTGGAACATAATAAAGAACTAATCCCTGTAATATATTATTTCTGATACCTTGACGAATTTCATCAAATATCTTCTACAGGTGCTGCCTGGATCAGGACTGGTTACTTGTGTAGATGAGGTGAGTTCTGAAAGTTGACCTATCCTCCTGGTTGACAGGAGGCTCTAGCCAGTCGGTGTTGATATAAAACATTCTAAACGAAAATACTTGACAACGAAGTGCCACAAAGTCATCAGTTTGTCCTGCACGACTGCAAAACACCACGTATAAACCGTTCTAGCTTAACCCACCTAGCAATGAGATCTAGGCGGGTGTGGGTATCTTGGTCGGATGGTTAGGTCAGTTGCATTTATTATCTGCAGCAACATTGGCCACAATGTGACAACACTATCATTGCATCTTTCAAAAACTGCAAAAGTTATGCCATGATTAGCTTGAACATTATTTGCGGCTCGGTCTGTGCTGTCTCCAAAATAGGTTAATTACCTTTGTATACATTTCGAGACAGGTACCAGTCTATAAATATTTGCATCACATAACTACGTACACTTGTTTTGTGGGAGCATTTGAAAACACCATTATCGCGAATCTCGAGATCAGGAGTGTACGTTTTTAATATAATAACCTATAACGGCAGAAACTCGTAATAATTTTTATGCTGAAGCAATCAGTAACATATGTACACTGACGGGTGAGTCTAAATTTGTCTAAATTGATTCATTTTTGTGATTTAATCGAGAAATGATCGTGAAAGATTCAAGAATGAATCGAGGATTGCGGCTTGATTTGTGCAGGATCTGCTGGTGCTGAAGGCGAGCAGTGAGGCGGCCGTGGTGGCCCTGCAGCAATGTATGTCCATCCTACAGCGACACAGCAACACTCACAAGAACCTGCCTTCTGGCGCCGCTGTCGAGTGGCTGCAGCCGGCGTGAGTTGCTAATTACATATTAATTACGAATTAATTAACTAATTATGACCTTATTACCTAAATATTAACTTGTGAATTTATCAACCTATTAATTACTAATTAATTGCTACTGAGTCACTCGTTTGTTACTCCCTATTATTCCTACGTTTCTTCAAACTGTTACGCGGTGGGCATTGTCGTTGTTTTTCCTCTTTGTTTGTTTCTTATACCATGAAATTTGTCATATATTATTGGTTTGTGTGTATGAGATGTAGCATGCATGCTCTGTTTATCACCAGCGTGAATAAAGCCCATATATTATTTATTTGTTATTATAATGATAATGTTAAAACAGGAGATGTTGTATTGAATGTTAAACGAAGATATGTTTAAACAATAGCCCTGTGGTTGGACTACTGAGTGTGGTTCTATTGTATTAGCTTCAAGATTCCCTTTTCCATTTATTAAATTATAATTTACTCATTGTGAAATGTTTTTTTTAATGCAGTATCTAATGTTGTCTGATGTACAAGGCATCGTAATTATTTGAAGGTTGCATGAACGTTTTTTTCTTGTGCAGGTCACCAGGATGCAACATTGGGGGAAGAATTGTACCAATTACTCACAAGTGGACTTTACCTACAGCTGACATGTACACAGAAGGTCAGATAAAAACTATAGCTGCAGAATACGATGCTAAACTGCACAGAAACGTGAAATATGATGTCATCTTATGACTGCTCCATGATTAAGATTACCACTAGATAATTATTTCTCTTCTGAGATTGCATATAGCTCTAGTAGAGTATCGTAATTCACTAGATTACATATTGCAACAACAATAATTTCAAGGTGGCCGCCGCTCATGGTCTGCACGACCAGTAGTTGAATCTTATGTTACGGTGGGGGAACATTTTCTGAAACTGCTACTGTAGCTTGGTTTACATGTACTCTGTAATTCAGTCGGGTTCAATCATCGTAAGTACAAACTTCACTATTCCCTCTATGTCAGGGGCCCCGCTTCCCAAAACATGCATACTATCGGTTATCATTTAAGTCTGGGAAGTCATAACTTTTGCACAACACTTCATGTGCAAAAGTTATGATGTCTGCATACTTGTTTGTACGTGCTGCATCTTCACTGCTTGTGATGTTCTCGATAACAGGGAACCCCCAGGGCAGGCTCGCGTAACCCACTGACCCATACTTGCGGTTATCATACGGAATACTAATGGTTATCATTTAAGCATGGGAAGTCATAACTTTTGCACAACACTTTATGTGAAAAAATAATGACGTCTGCATACTGCTGAGATCTTCACTGTTTGTGACGTCTCTGGCAACAGGGAAACCCTTCACAACACTTCATGTGCAAAAGTTATAGTGTCCGCATACTTCTGAGATCTTTGCTCTCAGCTTCAATTTCTCATTGCTAATGCGGTTTTCTGACAACAGGGAACGCCTCAGGGCAACGTAGGCAGGCCAGCATACCCCCTAACCCGAATTAAAGCGAGGATTTCACACGTTTTTATCAACTGTTTTCATATTTTCTCATCCGTTTTGATACTGGTACTCTTTGCATAACACCACTGTATATAGTAAGGCTAACATGGCATAGAACACTCGCTCAACACTGCATTTCAAATTGGATTGTTTACATATGTCAACAAACCTAGCACAAGATTTTTGCTCTCGCGAGACAGGAGCCCTGTCTCTACTCTACACTAAGTTAATTACCTTCGTATACATTTCGAGATAGGTATAAATCTATAAATATTTGCGTCACGTCACTACGCACACTTTTTTGTGGGACCGTTTGATCATTTAATTATCGTGAATCTGAAGATAGCAGGTGCACGTTTGCTGTTCATTTACTGTTTTATAGCCTATAATAGCAGGAACTCATAATAATGTTCATGCTGAAGTAATCAATAATATGTGTGCTGACAGGCGAGTCGAAATTTTTCTAGGTTTATTTATTTTTCGATTTCTTCGAGAAACGATCATATTAAAGTCTATGGGAACACCCAACAAATGCATAATATGTTAAACCTAGTGATGTGTAGGCAGTAGCTGTTATTTTCCAACTATATGCATTAGTAAAAAAAAAAATTGAAACACTAACTGTATTTTTAACGCGATTTTATAAAGGAGCTACGTGAAAAATGCGTCTCGCGCGATGTCACACGGACGACGTAGATTCGGTAACTCATTTCATTGCAAAAGCCGGCGGGTGTTTTTACTTTTTTGCGCGCAGCCGACGTCGACCCCGCCGACGCGGAACCGGACGCGGAGGCGTGCTTGGGTCACGACCTTGGAGCCGTCGACGACCACAAGAGCGTCATCCTGCACCTGCTATCGCAGCTGAAGCTCGGCATGGACCTGACGCGCGTCGTGCTGCCGACGTTTATCCTGGAGCAGCGCTCCCTCCTCGAGATGTTCGCCGACTTTATGGGACATCCGGCGCTGTTCCTGCGGTTCGTCATCATCGTTGTTCGCTCGTCGCGATTCGCGATTCGTTGAGCGGAAATTGTCACAGTTTTTCTCACATGGATCGACGATTTAATTAAATGTTACGATTATTGTCGAGTGATAATCGAGTTTATCGATTGAAATTGATTGTTTTTATCTCATCTGACGTAGTCAGGTGCAGCTTGTAGAATCGCAATGATTGTCCGGCCGTCCGTGCGTCCGTCCAGTTGGGCACAAATCTTAACCGCTCGACGTACGGTCACGATATTTGGGACGTGGGGGGTAATCCGAAAACGAGTTGGGATGTCGAAGCTGGGGGGTCAAAGGTCAAAGGTCAATGGGGCAGAGGGCAGATTTTAGACATTTTCTGAGGACATGGTCTGACGGAGCGATTGAAAAACTTTTTTGTTTCAGCGGTTACCTACCATTTTTATGGCTTTATTGAAAGGATCGTGAAATGTACTTTCCGCTGACATGCGAAGAGTAAGTGTCGGATAACCTTTTGACCCTCAAGAGGAGGGTTAAGCATTGATTTGTTGACTGTTAACAAAGGACTGAACTGCTTTTGCTATTATTAGAGCCCATACCTGTGTGAATGTGAGGCTACAGTTGCACAGTTTAATTGCAAAGGCAAATGTTTGTTGAACAAGGTTTACGCTCCTTAAATCATATTATTTTCTAAAGCAATCTGTCTATAGCACCCTGAAGGCTGAATCAGTGAATGCTCGTGTGGGTAGGCAAAAACACGGGGCAGCCCATGGTTCTAATCATAATTGTTGCCTGCCAACCTGCAATGCACATGTGTCTGCAATGCATAGAGATTAGGTGGGTGCGAAAGTGTAGCTGATATATTTGTTCCAATTGGCTACGAAAGTCAAACAAGAATAAAGAAGACTTATGTATAAGATGTCTTGCTATGCACAAATGAATTTATCAGCAGAACACTAGACACGAGATGAGCCCTGTCGGCACTTGTTTTTTGTTAGAATTTTTAGTATCACAGGCGCCTAACAAAGGTGTCACTACGCACGACTGAAATGTTACGCTTATAACCGTAGCAACAGACCTCAGATGAGTTCAGACGCTCTGCGGCTCTTGTTTCTGTTTTCTAACTTCCCAGTCGGGGACGAGAAATTGGGGTTTGTGGGAGGCAGGTCTACAAATAAATACGAATACGATAGAATATTCACCTGTTTATATAGGACACTTACGACATTTCCCATTAGTGAATCCCCCTTAGATGCAGGTCTCCCTACCAGTGGGAGCATTATGCCATTGAATCTCGTCTAACATTAAGCTCATTGTGTATTGAACTGCAGGATCGCTAGTGGTGCAACACCAGAAGATAGGATGATGGCATTAGTAGAATGGTATTTGACTGCTATCCATGCTGGGCGACAGGTGATAAACTATCATTGTCAATTTATATATATATATATATATATATCAAGAGTACATAATACAGAAGAGTGTAGTGGAACTAGAGTATGACACTGTTTTAATTAACAGTGTTTTGCGTAGTTTTCAACTTGAATTTATTCTATCAATATGTGAATAAATATATTCAAACTTTACCTTGTTTTATTCTCCCTTAATCATATGACACCACCAGTTTGCATACACTACAGTGTCATACTCTTCTCTATTATGTACTCTTGATATTAGGCCTTATATATATATATATATAATATATATATATATATATATTACATATATTTCATATAGCCTTAGGTAATAATACATAGTAGCATGTTTGTTGTTTCTACTTTGCTTATCAGTCTAATCTAATTTATCTATGTCTAAATTTAAGGGGATGATTGTATTACCCATATATATATATGTAATATATATATATATATGACTCATATAGCTTAGGTAAGGGGAATCCACTCATCGCCCGCTCTAGATATAGGTTAGATTAATGACTGATGCGCAAAATAGAAACAACAAAGCTTGTTTTATTGAATGAAACATAGCAACAACCAAAAATTACAGGCACGTGCTGTGAGCAATGCAGTAAACTCTTGTCTATTGTCGTAGGGTTCAATTGCAAAGAAACCCTATAACCCGATAAATTGGAGAAAACATTCCACTCGTCATCATGGAACGTGCCCGAAGACGCGAGGAGAAAAATGACAGCTCTTCACAAGCACAGGGATGCGTACAGACTCATATACATGCCCCCAGAGCAGGCTGCTCCCACCATACCTCCTTGGGCTATGACATCTACGCCTACAATTGCAATGCGACAAGTGTCTCGTTAGACCTCCCATACCGCCCATTGTCTCAACCCCCTAACTCCTTGGTGTAGCTACCATACCACCTACCACCACTGTGCTAACTCCAGCCCTTTAGCTGTGGCCTATCCTAACCACCTACCACTATCCAATTCAGTGCTTCTGTATAGCTACCTCCCGCTACCCACCACTGTCCCATCTCCAACCCCTTTGGTGTGGTTACCCTACTCACTACCCACCACCATCCCAACCCCAACTGCCTAGGTGCGGCTGCTCTATAACTTACTTCCATCCAACCCGTCTGCCTCGTGGCTATACCGTACCACCTACCCACCACCGTCCCAACCCCTCTGCTGTGGCTATACCGTACCACCTACCCACCACCGTCCCAACTCCTGACCCTCTGGTGTGGTTACCTTCCCACCTACCCACCACAGGAATTGCTATGCGAAGATTGTCTTGGCTGAGATTGCTGTTCCGACAATTAGTGTTAAATTCATCACTCGCAGTATTATTTTATGATGATTATATTGTCATTTAATTTGCAATTCTGCACGACTGCCATCTCAACGGGCAATTCTAGAAAGCCGGACGTTTTTGTGCAATGTCTTGTATAGGCTATGTTTGCTCAGAGCAGCTCATATCTTTCCTGCAATCGCCATAACTACCCTACTTAACTGGCGTTTTACACCAAAGTTCTATCCCACAAAGGCCAGTGTCCTTTTACCATATTGGTCTTCTTTGTATATCTGTATGTACAGCCTGTCCAGCATATGATGTGTAGTTTCTCTGTAACTGAATTTAACATTAAATGAACCACAAAATTGAATTCACATACACATTTTTGTGCAACTGTCAATCAGTTATTGATTTAATCTGTTTTCAGTGTCGGCATTTTACATAGAGTGTCCTGCAAGAAATATGTGCATGAATGCACATGTGTGGACGAAATCCAAGTTCATGGGAATGTCCATCGGAGTGGCCATGGTTGGCGAGGGTGTGCTATAGATTTCGTTTGTTAGCTAGTTATCTTTGCATCTTTGTCTCTGTCATTGGTAAGATGTTCCCATAAAGGTGTAGCAAAAATATTTCAGGTGCTTACTAATAAATATTTGTGTAACATGGGGGTGTCATATTTCGGTACATCACTTACACGCTGTCATTCTTTTCTGTCGACTTCTTGCCAGCTATTGGTTTGCTTTGTGTTCCAGTGAGCCTGACGTTGTTGGAACATGATGAGGAGTACATTTTCCAGCTGCCGAGCGCATTTGCGCGGTCGATACTGACAGTGCCGTGGGTCGAGCTGGGTGGCAAAGTAAATTTCAGCTGTGCCTCTACCAAGTATGCGGCAACTGCTACGTTCCACACTAAGGTACGTGTGTAGATAGAAAGATATAGGGATGTGTTTAGATACTTATAATAGAGCTTTATACATGTGCTAAAAGATCAATTACTCAATGCAAGACTGTGAGAAGAAAGTCGACTGGAAACAAGTTGGAGGGGATTAAACCTGGCACGAGAGAATAGCCTGGGAGAATTGGCACGAGAGTGTGAGTTAAGGTCATCTTTGCTTTTCAGCCATTTTATGGGGGAAAGCTGCATCGGGTGACGGCAGACGTGAAAGATCCGATGGGCAGGAACGTCTGTCACATTAGCGGCGACTGGAGTGGTGGGCTGGACTTCACTTATGCAGACGTACGTGGGCATGCTGACAGATGTTTGCACACTCAACCGATTGTATTAAATATTGATTTTATTAGATAAACATTTCAGTTGCAATAAACCCATGCATTCTATTAACGTCATTGCATGCTTTCCGTCACTGACTGTATTTAACTATTGGTTGTATTTCATAAACATTCTTGTTACAGTAAACCCACAGTCTACAAACGCCACTGTGAGCTTTCCCTAAATGAGCGTAATAAATAATAGTTTTAGTATACAACCATTTCAATTACAGGACCCTCACAGTCCATAGACATCAATCTCAGACTCTGTTTGTCTTAACCAATCGTAGTAAAGTTAGTGAAAAATTTGAGTTACAGTAAATCTGAACCTTGATATTAAATAGACAGTGTCATTTCGTAGCTAACCGGCTGCATGACATCGCGAGAATTGTTGCAAATATTGCAACTTCTTTCTTGCAGGGAACGAGTAAGAACGTTAACGTTGCGGAGATGGCTGTCGTTGCGAAACGCGTGCGCCCGCTAATGAAGCAGCATGAAGGCGAGTCGCGGAGGTTGTGGCAGCACGTCAGTGAGAGCCTGAAGAACGGAAACATGAATCTGGCCAGCGAGCACAAACACTACGTAATTCCGCGCCCTTTGTTGTCTGACCACTTACTTTGTGAAGTTGCATGCGAGTAATGCTGTGGATTTAAACTAGGACCATCGCTACCAAAGGGGGAGGGGCAGTTGCCCCCAAGAGAAATGTAGATACATTACATGAACACAGACACACCTTTCCAAAGCCTTCCCAGAACACACACCACACGTCGTTTGCCCCCCCCCCAAGTAAAATGGGTTAGCTACGTTCTTGGTTTAAACATGGGCACTCATGTAACTTGCTGTTAATAACATTTCACCAGAGGTTGGTAGGTTATTGTAGTGATGGCAGTTAATCATTGAACGTATAAACACACTTACCAACAATTTTACAAGAATAGCTTGATCACGCGTTTTGTAAGACTTTTCCTCCAATTTTGCAGTTGGAAGAAATGCAACGAGCAGACGAGAAAGATAGGGCTGCTAAAAACGTCCCTTTCCCAATAAAGGTATTGTTATAACCTATATAATGATGTCTCTCTCCCCAACCTCCCTACTACCCTTCCTTGCTTCCTCTCACCCCTCTCTCTCTCTCTCTCTCTCTCTCTCTCTCTCTCTCTCTCTCTCTCTCTCTCTTTGAATCTTTCTTTTCTCTCTCTCTCTCTCTCTCTCTCTCTCTCTCTCTCTCTCTCTCTCTTTTCTATTGGGTAAATACAATCATCCCCTTAAATTTAGACAAGAATAGATTAGATTAGACCTGACTAAGCAAAGTAGAAAGCAACAAACCATGCTTACTATGTATTATTACCTAAGGCTATATGAAATATATGTAATATATATATATATATATATTATATATATATATATATAAGGCCTAATATCAAGAGTACATAATAGAGAAGAGTATGACACTGTAGTGTATGCAAACTGTGGTGTCATATGAATTAAGGAGGAGAATAAAAAGCAAGGTAAAGTTTGAATATATTTATTCAGGCATATTGATAGATAAATTCAAGTTGAAAAACTAGCGCAAAACACTGTTAATTAAATACAGTGTCATACTCTAGTTCCACTACACTCTTCTGTTTATTATGTAGCTCTTGATATATATATATATATATATATAAATTGGACAAGTGATAGTTTATGCCACTGCTTGCGCGCCAGGCATGGATTTAGGCAGTCCGAAATAACATGTCTACTAATGGCCATCATGCCTAGTCTTCTGGTGTTGCACCACTAGCGATCCTGCAGTTGCCAATAGCACAAATAGCTTAAAACTTGTTAGACGAGATTCAATGGCATAATGTCTCGCCACATGGTAGAGGAGACGCTGGCTCTAAGGGGGATTCACTAATGGGAAAATGTCGTAAGTGTCGTATATAAACGAGGTGAATATTCTATCGTATTCCTGTATTCTATTTGTAAGACCTGCCTCCCAACAAACGCCCATTTCTCGTCCGTGCGCGCGACTGGAAGTTAGAATAACAGAAACAAGAGGCGCAGAGCGTGCTGAACTCATCTGAGGTCTGTTGCTCGGTTATAAGCGTAAACATTTGCAGTCGGTGCGTAGTGCACACCTTTTGGTTAGGCGCCTGTGATACTAAAAATTCTAAACAAAAACAAGTGCCGACAGGTGGCTCATCTCGTGTCTAGTGTTCTGCTGATAAATTCATTGTGTGGCTAGCACAGACATCTTATACATAAGTCTCTTAATTCTTGTTTGACTTTGCGTAGCCAATTTTGGAAGCAAATATTATCAGCTTACACTTTGCAGGCCCACCTAATCTCTAATGCATTGCAGACAGCATGTGCAATTGCAGGTTGGCAGGCAACAATATGATTAGAAACCATGGGCTGGCCCCCGTGGTTTTGGCCTACCCACAGCGAGCATTCACTGATTCAGCCTTCAAGGGTGGTATAAGACACGATTGGCTTTAGAAAATAATATGATTTAAGGGAGCGTAAAAACCTTGGTTCAACAAACAGTTTGCCTTTGCAATTAAAACTGTGGCAACTGTAGCCTCAGCATTCACAACAGGTATGGGCTTTAATAATAGAAAAGCAGTTCAGTCGCTTTGTTA